TTGGCTTCTAAAGAAAGTACAAGTTATATGGCTGCAAGCCAGCACTGCTACAAACCAAACCACAGATATGTAATGGATTGGGAAAACACCACCACTCTGGAAAATAATGATTCTCTTCTAATCAATTTTAAAATATCCTTTGTTGCTAAACACTCCTTAAAAATCTCAGGCCCAAGCAACAGATCACAGCACACATTACAAATATAAAAGACAACCACCAAAGAGAACCCTACCAGCAGTCCAGGGTTTATTAAAATTCTGACATTCTGAGATATCTTCTTGCCAAGGGCCCTCTTACAATGACATCTGTACACTTGTCATTACATTGTGGTTCGCATTACTTACATAAACATGCCACAGGGAAACCATGACTGATATAATTTTTGTAAGATTGAAAGGTAGCCATTGCGATCATTAAAACAAACCTGAGAGAGCCTTCCTGATGATGGAACAGATTCAGTTACTTCTTCCTTCTTTGTGGGTCATTAGTTAAGAGGGGAAGGTGGGGGAGGAGGGAGAGAAGGCACATACTGCAGGTGTTTTATCCTTTGTAAGGAGACTGCACTGAGACAAATGATTCTAGCTGGCATTTTGTACACACCGGAGATTGCTTATCGATCCAGATCAGAATATTCAGGCTGGCCCCAGGGAAAAGGCAGAGTATTTTCTGAGGGAGTTAATAACCTGGCAGCTGAGCTGTCTTGTCCAATTCACTGAACCTAGGGCTCTAATCAGGCCAGAGTTTTTATTTTGAGAAATCTTGCCATATGTGTCTGCTATCTGCCTTCCACTCTATTGGAACAGTGACAGTGATTGAAATGACAGCCTATAGATAGAGCCTAATCAAATTGTTTATTATCAGCCTAAATCAATATGTATAGATTGTAGAAACATCACTGTCATGCCATGAAAAAGTCATACTAATACTACATGCTGCAGGTGTAATTCTAAAATGTATTTTTCCATCCTAAATTATGTCTGAATTTAACAGAGTAAAAGAAATTAGAATGGTGTATGAGACAGTGAAAAATATGCAGGTTTAAACATTTCAGTAACATTAAGGATTAATGTTTAAATGCTACGTTGTTCATTGCTTAAATGTGTTATCGTGTTTCTAGTGAAGAACAGAGCTGAGGGAAAGGAAAAATAAAAATTGAAAAGTTGTTTTCCCTTTTGTACAGAAAAGGGGAAATCTCACAGAGATCTGTGTAAGCACACACTGCAGGATGAATCAAATTCCAGCACTGCTAAAAAGCAAGTTTTGAGACATCCAGACTACAGGGATGAAAACACAGTAACGTGAACTCCTTTGGTACCACACAAATATTACTCCCAAGAGCCTACCAAAGAGCTTGGACTGTGAAATCTTATGATTTGATAAGAAGCTGATTTCATAAAGCCCTCTCTTCTGAAGACTCTTGAACACCTTTTTTCACAGGAAAGATATCAGTGAATCATATGGAAAGAATAAAAAGCATTTAATGGTATGTCATAAAACAGATTCTACAGGCTTGATTATCGTCTCAAACAGAATTTTTCAAACACAAAACGTGAGAAGAAGAAGGAATATTCCTGAGGGTGTGGCACTGGACAGAAATCTCTCCCATTTGGGCACAGACCAGCAATCTGTTTGGCCAGTGAAGCTCACGTGAGTGTATGAATCTGAAATTCTCCTGCAGTGGAAGTGACTGAAATGGACAATCCTGGCAGGGCTTGTGGCCCAGCAAGAGGCAGCTGTGTAGTTCACAACTTTTGAAGTTGTTCTACTGGCAGAATTTGTACTACCTAACGTGTCCTGAGGAATAATTCATTGCCTTGATCCTCAAAAAAGAAATTTCAAAACTATTTTAAAGTACTCTGGCAAGGCAAAGATGCTGTGGGCTGAGCAAATGGTATGTTTTGCCCTGAAGAATGGTGTGAAATAACTTTCTGGTTATTTAATCTTTGCAATGCAAAGATTCATTCAAGCTCTTGTTTGAGTATCATTTACATTGTGTGATTATTGGGTTGAGTCAAACATGTAACAAGTTTTAGCATTACAGCATACATGTTAATAAAAATAATATTGTGTTGTAGGTTGTACTAATTTAAAGAGTTTTATTTTTCCTTGGATAAACGTACTTTACTTACTGTGAGACCATGTAAAGCTCTCCAAACAGCAATTATCTTTGGCTAGATGAATCTAGGAATTTTCCTATTACATTCAAAATTAGAAATTCTTGATTGCCATTTAAAAAAATAAGGTACTTATTCAGCAGAAAATGTTAGCATATAAGTCTAAGTACATGCTTAAGTCCCTCCTGAGTCAGGAAAGAGGTTAAGCAGATGTATATCCTTAAGTTTTAAATTACTTCAGTGGGACTTTGTCTTGTCTTAAATTTTGAATGTACTTGAAGTGTACTAATGGCTAAACATAGAATATGAATACAGGTGGTTCAGTTTGACCCACAGCTGGCACAAAACCAAAATTTAACATTGCTTTTAAAGTGTTTTGACTAAAATCCAGCAAAGTACTTATGTCTACACACAGTGCTGATTTAACTATCTCAGTTTATAGTTACACTGGTGCAATTTCCTAGCATGGATACAGTTCTGCTGGTATTTGTCTTGGCATAATTTAGCAAGAGAGTTTTACAGAACTGAACGGCTCTGAAAGTCAAGGAGGCTGGGGCAAGGCTGCAAGAGAGAGACCAAACCTGAGTTAGCTGAAAACACAGCACTGAGGGGACGTGAGAAGGGAGAAATTTGCCTGTTGGAAAGGTCACCTTCCAAACCTTCCACAAATGAATGGTGGCACTTCCCAGCACACTTCTGCCAGTGTGGCTGCTCATATGTGAGCTCATCCCACAAGTGTAGCTCCTTCCAGAGCTGTGGGTGAAATGCCTGGATTACACCTCCTACACTGTGAGATCCATGGATATGCTCTGAGTGTTGGGTGGAAAGATGGAAACCTGCTTCAGGTTCTCTGTGACATGCAGTGAATTCCCTCTTACAGTCTTCTCATTCTGCTGAGGATACATTATATTTTTATCACTGTTTTGCTTTTTGTTAAAGCTTATTGCAGCCAAACAACTCAAGATAAAATAAGTTTTATTTTTTTCATTTTTTTCCTTTCTGAAGGATCTTCAAAGAAGAGTTTGACCACAGAGAAGGGTGATAAAAATGAAGAAATAATGAAATTTTTGTGTATTATTTACAATGAAGAATAGTGATCTACACTGTCACAATTATCCAGCTTTCCAATACTTGCGTTCTCAGTTATGGATACCAATATTAACAGGAAATATACCTAATAACTTAGTTTTACCTTGGGAAAGGACTGTTTCTAGGATCCTCCTATGAAATCAGTGAAATTCTTATTTATACCCCACTTAGTGCTTTAGATGGGCCATTTCTCTAGATCCATTCATTTTCTTTTTGGTTATTTCTGTTATGGGCTGATTTGCTTTGTCTTTGCACTAAAAGGGATTAAAACTAAGGGCTACTGATACAATTTCTTTGGGTTTATTTGTTGCTTTTTTTCCACCTTGCTTTGTATAGACAGCAGATGTATTAAGAGAAGATGCAGAGCATACTAAATTCTTACTGCATTCGAAGGACATATTGCTTCCAAATTAAATAGTTCAAGATGCAAGAATGACAGTATTAAAGTCACAAGAGCAAACCTTAACCTGTCCCTTTCCTCACAAACATTCCAACTGTAAGAATGTTGTCATCTTTCATGAAATGCATCATCTATCAGCATATGGATGTATCCAATGAATGAACATCAGTCCCTGAACACTTGCTCTCTGATTGTATTTGGAACTATAAATAAAAATTTGAAAATAGTCCATTTAGTAATTTCAGTGATCATTATTACCTTAAGTAAGGTAATAGTAATAACTTATTCCTCTAATTTGATCTACAATAAAATATATTTTATATATAATAATATATATAATATTTATATATATAATATAAACACAATATAATAGTGACAGAATTAAGAATAGAAGTTTAGCCTCTAGCAATCCACTTTGAGTTTTCATGGATACCATAAAGAATTTAACTGTTCCCCTTATTCTCATATGAACCATAAAGGCATTGACTCTAAGATTAAGCAGATTTCTACCAACAAATGAAGCCCTATGTGTTTCTTTTCAATCTCATTGATGTTACTAAATCCAATACCATCACAGCACAGTCTGACTTGAACTCAGGCTCAGAAAATTTGCAACCTAAATATCAAAACTAAAAAAACTGCTATCTTAATAAGATGGGAAAATATGATATGATACAGCCCCATGTCCCACAAAACCTCTACACACTGCACTGCTTCCCTTCAGATGCACAAATAATTGATGCACTGTACAAATCAGGCTTGCAAACGTGGTGTGCCTTCCAAATTGTACTTCAAACCTCATTATGTTTAATAGTTCTGTACCAAAATGCCAAGTACTTCACAAAAATTCTGGCCAGGTTTATGTACTTAAAAAAAACCCAAAAAAAGATTGAAACATAGGAACATGGAAAGGTGTAACATCAGAAAGTTCTAAATTCAAACTACACTTCAGGAGCATAAGAGGGATTAACGAGGAGCTGTGATGGTGAACTTTTAGAAGAAAGAGTTTATGTGAAATTCATTTCAGCAGTGTCTGTCGTGCTGTGAGGTTTAATTGTAATTTAGTTGTCTTCATCACCTGGGAGAACTTTTGCTATGCTGTTTGCAGAGAGGGCTGGCAGCCATTCTGCAAATCCTGCATTCCCACTCTGGGAGGAGTTACCAAAGATTACCTGAGATTCAGCTAATGCTGCTCTGCTTAAACCACATAAGGGTTTGTGACCATGAGGACCTTAGCACAGAGGGGTAGAAGTGTTCATCAGTCCTAAATTATTGGGAGGGAGGGAGGGAGGGAGGGAGGAAGGAAGGAAGGAAGGAAGGAAGGAAGGAAGGAAGGAAGGAAGGAAGGAAGGAAGGAAGGAAGGAAGGAATTTCTGAAATACTTTGTGAAGCCTACCTTGATAAACACTGAGGAGAAATCCAGGGATTTTGTCTGCACACAGAAAATTGTCTAAATTGCCTGGAAAAAGTCATTGACCCAGTCAGATTGTGTGAAGCTTTTGATCACATACAGCCTCAGGCTCTCCTGCATCTTGCTCAGAACACATAGCTCAGTGAAAAACTCACTATTTTATTGTGAGAAACACTACAATAGAATGATGTTTGCACTGGCATGTGAGGGTTGCTCCTCCTTAGGTGGCTTGGGAACATTATATTCAAGGGGTTTTAGGTGTAAATTTATAAACATCACATGCAAAGAATTTTAAGGTTTCATTGTTCAATTATTTTAAGTAGAACAATGAAAACATCAATGCTACAACAATGCAAATTAATCAAACAGCAAAAAGTAAAGCAATTAAAGCTGAGCACTTCTGCAATGCATATTCAAGAGCCTGAGTAATTAGGTGAAACTCTAGAGAGACTGTTAAATGTCCTTTACTGTATATCTATGGAATCAATTTCACTGAGAAATCAAGTACATTGTTTTTGTAGATGGACAAATGTAAATGGTTTTTGTAGCTTGGACAGCTACAAAAAATGAGGGAGGAAAGATGGTTCTGTAATTTAAAGTGTGGGATGGGAGAGGGAAGTCTCTTGAATCTTAAGACTTCCTAAGTAGCTCGAGGCAATGACTTAACTTCCCACCTGTAAAAAAGTGTGACAATCCTCCAGTGTGCTTATCTGGGCTAGGAGGATATGTATGTAAAGGATTCTCAGCCAGAAGATAGGAGTGAAGAACGGTATCACTCCAAGTGTGCAGCTACAGAACTCACTCTAACACCAGTGTTCCATATAACATTCATCCTGTCCAGGTTTTATAAATAAAATTTACAAAAGATCCTTACCTGAATGCACGTGGTTTTGACTGTAATTTTCTCTCTGGCTCTTAAAGATGTCATTGTGCGGAGAAAGATTATCATCACTTGTTACTCTTGTTACTCTGAAACTGCCAGTGAGCCTCTGAAATGAGGAGCAAGCCACATAATTAGAAAATTATGCACTGCCAACTTGCTATTATCCTGTGGATTTTCTAAAAAAAGCAAAAGGTGTGCCACACTAACACCTCACAGGCAATACAAGCTCTCAAGAATTTCCAGCAATCTTCAACATAAAAAACAAACAGCAGATTATGATATGGTAGGTAAAATAAGGCCTTTAAGGAACACACAACCAGTGTACATAGTGTACAGCCCTAGCAGTGAAAATCACAGTAAAACCGCTGTTTCTTAGGCTGAACATTTTTATCTTAGGCTGAAGGTTCCAGTCCCATAAACCAGGGCTTCAATCTTCATAGAAAGTTGTATTTCTATAACAAGCATATTAACACAGGGGACTTTTGCCTCCAGGCTCCCATTGTTAGATTACTCTTTATTATAAGATTGTCACAGAAAAGGCTTTTTGCTTTTTTTTTTTTTATAAAGTAAGATCTCTGAAAGATTATCAGCAGAAATGATATTTAGGAATACAAAAGAAAGTTCTCAGAATAACATCTGGGAGGAAAGGCATCAACATTTTGCAAAAACAATCTTGAATGGGAAAAGAGGACTCTTCATATGAAAGCTGAACAGGGCTCACAGTTCATGGATTTTTTCTGCTTGAAATACTCAGGTCATTGATATCAAATATGGCTTCTGTGCCTCTCTGTAGAATTCCAGTGTTATACAGATGCCAGTTCACCATACTGAGACTGACAAAATGACTCTGATGACTTTGTCAGTCACCCAGCAAAGTCCCAAGCTGGATGGCACCAAGGCCCAAGCACTCAGCAGTGCAGCACTCCCAGAACCACTGCAGACAGCACTGGAAGGTGCATCCTTTGCCAGTCCCTGTCATAGAGCATGAGGCAGTGCTGGGGCTGGTGCCACATTTTCTGAAAATGCTGCCAGAAAATGAAGGTATTGTTTCCATCTCAAACACAGTTCTAGAACCAGACAAAGAACACATATTGCTGTCAAAAACATTTTGGCCATAGGTTAGGAAAATTTCTGGTGAGAGCATTGTAAAGGGAACTGAAAACATGTCTGCAACTGAAAGGAAAAGTTCTATTTTTACTCCACAGTTGTGTGTAGAAAGCACATCACAGAGTTGTACCTCAGCTAATGCTCTGTGAACTGTGACAAGCTTATAGTGCATTCACCCATGTTTTTGGTGGTTGCATCACTAAGGAAATATTCACTGTATCTACAGATGGCTGCCAACATTGTACCAGAGACCCAGCAAATTGTTCATCACACTTCTAACAGGCCAGTAAAAAGCACAGGTTCAAAAAGCTGAATGACTCAATAATAACTATCTGCTGTTAGATTCACCTTACCATGTTCTTTTTATTTGCAGTTATGTAAGTTACCTTGATCAAGTTAGCTAAAGGGTTACCTGCTTTCTGCTAGCACTGTTAAATGTTTCAGAAAGTACCCAAATCACAGGAGTTGTGCAGTGCAGTTAACACATTCTCCAATTCAGTGCTTTCCTTTACACACCAGGGTGTAATGGCTCAGCTGTAGAGCCTGACTTTGGACTGAGGAATGTCACTTTCCAACCTTTTTTTTGTCTTCCCAGTGGATGTCAAGCTGCTTGGCTTGCCAGACCACATCCTACATCTAAAACAAACGTGGGAAATGTGTGTAGTGCCCAAATTCCATGCTCCCAGTCTGGAAACCACTTGGTTACACAGCATAAAGTATTTTCTTGATGCTCAGGTACTGATAGTGAAGTTCTGTTCTTGGATTTCTCTCCTGGGCTGCTGTTTGATGTAGTCACTTGCAATGTGTCTGCAGCCTTGTCAGACTTTTTACTGGAAGTCAAATTTCACAAATTCCAGATCTTTCTGAGCCTTAACCTTTTTTTATGTTTGCTAATCAAACGGGGAGGGCTATTATAGGTGACATGTATCTCATGTCACAATGTGAATATTAATTTCACTCTGTTCTTAGAAATGTTTAACGACTATGGGGGAGAATAACATCAAAAGTCACCGTGAATTGTATGATTCGGAAAGGGAAGTTTGAAAAAAGGTCTCAAAAACCACAAAATCCTTCTGCCTAGCATTAACATATTCAAGGAGAACAAAAACACACATTCTTAACCAAACTTCAATAGAGAATCACTTTTAAATGTATATTCCACACACATTCACACCATGTTTCTTAAAAATAAAGAAATGAAAAGTAAAAAATGCAACTGCCAAAGGAAGGTTATTTATGTTCAAACTGTACTGGAGAAATTAGTCAAGGGCAATTCATGCATGTGAAAATATGATTTCTAACATTGCCAAGGTCAATAAGACCTTAGGGAGTAAATCCTGACCACACAAATCAAAGATGCAGTTTTGAGGCAGTTTTGAAGATGAGTGGTGAGGCTTTAATAGTTTAAAAAAAGCCAGCTAATAGTCCAAATGAATCAGCAATGGCACAAGAGGAGCAAATAACTTGTTTATGAAAGGAACAAACCATTCTTGATGTCCTTCTGTGGAGTGGGCTGTCCAAGCCCTGAATCATACAATTCTCTGCCACATTTCAGAAGTAAGGATCTGATTATTTCTCAGAACTGAAAAATATAAAAAGATGCACCAATCTAAATCAATCCAAACTGCCAAATTAGTTTGCTTGCAAAAATATTTCAAGAGAAAGACAACTTCAGTCACCAAAGAACTTTGTAGGACCATTTCCTGTTTTGCCAAGATGTCTAAAGAGAAATGCATTTTATCTGCAAATGCATACTGCTAGCATACTGGATAGCAAATTGGGGCTTATTTATTTATTTCTAGATTGCTGGTTTCACTTTGTTTTTTTTAAACAATTTCCCCATGGTAGGTGAACAAAAAGCAAATAACTTTTTCTCCCCTCTAGAACAGAAAATCGACAATTTTTCATTTTAAGTCCAGACACTGAACTAAAGAGTACTTCTGCCTAGCTGGCTCCCCACACTCCTTTGGTTGCCACTGTAATATCTTAAAATCTCCTGTGTCAGGTTGCCTTTCCAAAACATTGTGTAAGTTAGAGCATACCCATTTCCCACACAGCTCAGATATCTGGGATACATATCTAGAGTGATATATGAAGATATCTGAAATCAAAGAGAAATTTAAAACAATCTTATAAGGGAACTCAGTTTGCCCTATTAAAAATAGCTTGAATTACTAACAGGAGGTGTTTGTGTCTGAGTCAGACCCTTCTAAGCCTTAAACAAAGATGAATTCAGAATAGAGCTGGCAATCTGTGTATTTATTCATTTGTATTAATAATTAATGTAGGCTTTTTAATGTTCTTGTCTTGTACAATTACCTCATATTTTAGAAAATACAATCTGTAACAGTATCCTGATTTTACTCTTAAAGATGTTTTTTATGTTGTTTCTGTGTAGGTAAACTGTTAAGTTGCCAGAACCCCTTTCAGCACAAGTTCTTCACTGCTCCTATTAACAAATTCCACAGCTATTCCAAACTATTCCTCTTCTCTTCTTGGACACTGCTGTTTAATAGCTCTGCCACTTTGATATCAGGAAAAAAACCCCAAACTTGGTTGATTAGACATGCAGATTCCTCTGATTAAAGGATTGGATAATTAATCTGGCATATTCAAAACTTCTGCATGAGCAAGAGCAGAAGTCAGAGTAGTGAGACCACAAGGATGCTGTGAAGGCAAATGAAAGCAGATACTTAGGGATCAGTTGAATACAGGCAGAAGAATGTAACCTGAAGTCTTGCAGCCAATTAAAATCTGTTGCCAAAGGGTGCAGAAGGAAAAGAAAGAAGGCAAAGAGGGAAGCCATCAGCCACACTGCTGCATTCTAATTCAGAGTTGTGACTCCAGGCAGAGGCTGGGTACATGGTTGTGGAGTGTGAATAGCTGAGAAGCAGCAGGACAAGTCTCATTGCTAATCTTGATGTCAGAGACACTTGTGTGTCTGCATCAATCCTTCCTATCTTTTTGGCCTTTTAAATTTCTTTCATTTCCTCTATTTCCTTCATTTCCTCTATTCCTTAGCCTCAGAACCATTCTGGAGCGAGAGTCTGGAGAATTTGTTTTAAATTGCAAAAGAGTGAAAGAATAACATAAGCATAACTTGATCAGCAAGGGTGGTAGTGACAATAACTAAGTGCCACAGTTCCCTAGGCCTCTTTCCTACATAGATGTGCACTGATTTCTATTCATATAGGACAATGAATTGAACTTAATAAAGAGGAGGTGTTCAGAGTCCTCTTACATGGAGAGGGTAAGAGTTTGAATAAATTGTATGGAAAATACAGATAGAAAATACAGTAACATTACATTTATACACTTACACATAACCATAACACTTATTACAGCCACTGGTATCCTGGTAAACACCTCACAGAAGTGCATGGAAAGCCCACAGTCACAGCTGCCCAAGAATTCTTGAGGTGCTTGAGCCTAGACCTCTACATAGTCATTTCCTCACATAAAATTTCTACCTTCCTCTTTTCCTCACTGCAGAGAAGGAAAAGAAGCTAAAACATGAGTACTCCTCCTTGAGCTGAGTTGGTAAAGATCAAACATTATTTGCATGAAGTTTCCAGTGAAATTTTGCCAGAGGACAAAGGGCTGTATGGGCCAAGAAAAACCAGAAGCTCTACAAGTGTAGGAGGACTGTGTTTGTTGGCTGAGTTTGAGAATAAATTGAAGTCATAATAAAGAGCCAACAGAGCTGTTTCTCAATTTTTATTTTTTTTTTTTAATCCCAGCACAGCATGCAAATAATTTGTTATGGACTTGAACTGGAGAAGCCAAGTATATAGTATTGTGAAACTGAAATCCAAAAGTAAAATATTTCAGGTTAGGGGACCTGTAGCTGGTACACCCAAACCACTCTTTGCATTCAATTTTCTGGCTTGGTCACAAGCATTCTTGCTTTCTGATATATTTAACTAAAATTTGCAGGTATTACCTCACATGCACCTCCTTTGGCTTTTTCCAGTGCCTATAAGCATGTGCACAATGTTT